ACACACACACACACACACACACGCACACACACACACACACACACACACACACACACACACACACACACACACACACACACACACACACACACACACACACACACACACACACAATATAGATGTGTTCCCCCCTCCTCTTATGTGCCCATCCCCCCATGTGAATCACACACAAACACACAAATACACACAGAACAATTTGATACATTTCCCGCTCTTATGTGCCCATCCCCCGACATGGATCACACCTGGCACACACAATACATGTTCAGTGTCTATTCTTTGTATATTTACTATAGTTTTTCATGTATACCAGTAGTCTTACAGTTGAAAAGGGTGTTAAATGAAATTTGGTGATGATTAATGGGTTTTGTGTTAATGTATTGCAGTTTAAACAGGACCGGTCAAATTTGACCGCAAAGACAATAGGAGGGTTAAGTAACACATCCCTCAGCAGAACACATCTATCTCCAACCTTAAAACCCAATCATATATATGTTTGATATGAGTTTTAAAAAGTTAAACTCCTAATCTTTAAGTGCATTGTGATTGTTTTTGAAAACTTGGGTTTTACCGTCTTTGTGTAATTCACTGGGGGCTGTTGGCCGAGTTTAATGCTGCTTAAGTTTCTCTGCCAATTCTTGTTCATACCTTTTTTGTCTGATGTTTACAGGTCAGCTGAGGTAGTAGGAAACAACGTTTTCTTACATTTTCTTGCAGTTACAAGAATCAGTCACCATAGAAATGGTCAAATATGTGTTTTATATACAGTTTTTTCATATGCAATTTATTTTTTATTTGCTTAAGTTATATATAAATATATACAGCATAAACTATTGCATTTACAGAAAGATGTGCCCCACGTGTTGTTCTGAAAGTCTGCCATTTTGAGAAAAGATCAATTATCATATGCATAACATTTACATTTCAATAGCAAATAGAAAGCCTGAGGCAATTAAGTTCATGAATTGAATTTCTGTGTTTTATTGCTGCATTAATTTCCTCTCTCTGTACTGCGGGCTGTTGGCAGCTGTTCATTGGGAGTATTTTGGCTGCACTCAGTTGAAAGTTCATTCGAGGCAGTGAGGACAACTATTTTCTCAAAATCAACATTTATTTTATCTTTCTATGATATAGTTTGGTCACCATGGAAACTGCAGTGAAAAAAATAAATCCCAGCGTCGAATCGACTGGAGGTGGTGCAGCACATCATGTCTGAAGGTTTTTTTTAGCTGATGTGGATGTGTGGCTATGGGGAGGGATGCAGGCTATAGCCAAAGTGAGTCCAAAAGTTTTCAAAGAAGGTGTTCACTGAAGCAGAAGCAGCAAACACAAACTGCAAATTATACGAACACTTACCAACCCTCCTATCATCTACAAAACATAACCTATACATTTAAGTGGGAATCTCAAACATCATGATTTATTTTCTAAACCCCTGACTTTCAACCACTACCTAACCATGACCCCAAATTAAGTCCTAACCCTCCTAACCTTTATTACCTCAAAGTATGGACAGAATGGACAACATTCTAACTTTACCCTAACCCTTATTCCCAATCAATTTTAGAAGCAATGACCAGAAATTCTTCACCTTTCCTTTCTTGTGAATACATTTAGTTCTCAATAGTCTAGAAATACTCCCCACACACACATATTTCGCCACCCATGCTGAGCTTCTTCTACTGTAAGTGGTTACCATAGATACCACATGGTGAGGCTCATGAAGTACAGTGGGTCCATCTCACGTGGGAGCCATTGCTTATTTATAGAAGAACTGTGTGTGGTGTGGCCAGAAATTAGTTTAGACAATGCACTGTTTTGGGGAATAACAAGCAATGAAGTGTCATAGCGTGTAAGAGGTACTGTGCACCACAACATACTAGTACCTCAGTAGTGACTTTTAGCTGTCATTGTGTGTAGTACTTCAGTGTTATAATAATGATAAGTTGGATGTTTGAACTGTGCGTATTGCTGAAAGTACAATGAGGCATTGAAAATATTCAGATCTTTAGCAAAAGAGTTCTTCCCTTGTCATCCATTTGTACAACATTTGAAGGACTTGAATAACGAGCACTGAACAAACAGCTTAGCCAAAAAACCTTTCAAGTGTTGCCATGTGAGAGCTCTTCTTCCTTTAAAAAGGTCAGCAAGTTTTGAAAAGTTACTTTCAATAATATGCAAGCTCTGCACCACACAGCGTGTTATGGGGAATCAAACACAGAGTACATATCATGACATGTTTAATTAAATCCTATTTTGTAGAATAATGAACTAATTAACAAACTCCTACTGAAGGCTTTTCTGTTCTCCTTCAAAACACGTTGGATTTGGAAGTATGTCTCCTTATCTTGCCGAAGTAATTGTATTCCCTAAACTGACATAATTGAATTGCTACCCACCCTGGCAAATGAGGTGTATTGTTCTCAAGGAATGAAGCATACCTAATTGCAATCCATCATAATCACTGTGCCTTTTTTATCTTAATTCACACCTAATTTTAATGCATGAATCAGTGATTATATTTTGTGGAAATATTTTTCTATTACATAAAACACCTTGTACTATTGAACACTGTTCACTTGACACACGCTTTAAAAACTAATGACCAATTACTGAGAGGTATAATTTTGGCCCTACGGATTAGAGAATGAGATGTCAGAGAGGCTTGCTATCAAATGATGATTGTCAAATGATTCACCTGGGCTTATTATAAGCTATACTGACTTTCAGTTAGGAGGATTACTATCTGTTTCATATAATGAACTGCATTTATACCGCTCCTAATTGATCCAGTCCAACCATCTGCTTCTCTACTCTGAAGCACTTGTGTTTCTGGCTGGGTGCCTGACGGAGCACACTTGCCTCAAGACTTCGTGTCCAGGAAGACAGTGATCCAGTCAGGAAGACAGGCATTACATTTTAATAGCTGTCTCTAAATCAGTCAGTCTTCCGGCCATTTACGAGATGCATATAGTGTCTCAGTACACCCTTCTATCAATCGGCCATTTAGCCGGCCAGTCAGACCATCAACCAGCCATCAAGCCTGCATTGTAAGGAAAATAATCACCGCACAAATACACGAGAGTGCACTTATATACGAAAGTTGATTGAGGCCATGGCAATCATCTCTAATCTAAATAATATTGCGTGGTTGCAGAACCCTTTTAGTCTCTACTGAATGCATGCGCTAATTATTTGTGAACACAGAATGCAATTGTTATATGTGGCATGCCTGAAAAGATTATAAATGACCAAAATGTATACATATGATTTGTAAATATGCTATATAGAGGTGGATTAAAGAGCAATGACTCTTGTCTGTGTCACGTGAGTGTGTGTGTGTGTGTGTGTGTGTGTGTACACTATACACATGGGTCTCTGCTAGCTTGTGATGTTAGAAGCCACTTCATAGCATGCTAAGCAAATTTGCACGAATGAGGCAAAGAATAAGTTCACTCTTGTCCAGGCTCATCCACAACCTCATCTAGTGGCAGCAGAATGAATCAGGTCAGAAAGCCTTTCATGGGCAGTGCGCTGTGGTTGGTCAGATGAGCTGACCTCACGGATAAGATCAAGTTGATCAAGGCATTAGGGTCAGATTACTTTTTCTACCAGCAAGCCAACAGAGTAACTGAAATGCAACTTGGTCACAAATCATACAAGATTCATTCTCAATTAGAGCTACAAATGTTACTTCTCCAGTAAGAATACATATGACTACCGGTTCTCTTGCACCTTGCTTCTTCTATGTTTACCATTCATGCTATTCTGCTTTTTCTACTCCTAATAATGCTTTTTCTTCTATTGCCACAACTCTCTAGATGATGGGTTGCTGAGGATACAAGGAACAATACAACTAAATGTTTTCGGGTTAGCCCCAATACACCCAGCAAGGGTACATATTGTTCCCTGAACAACCGACCATACCAAACAACCTCTTGCACCACATGAAGCTGTTTCACTGCGACCTCTCTGGAATAACATGTACACTCTCTGCTTATATGCAATGTACGGAAACGCTAATTCCAGTAATCTAATGTAAACTTGAAATCCTACTGAGCCTAGCTTTACTATGAGTATACAAGCTAAATCTACCCGTACTCACCAGAGGTTTTCCGTTAAAAAATTGGCTCGTTCCATCAGTAATGTCTAATCTTTAAAAAGGATGTGGATGTGCTTGATCTGAGAGTGATCCATTGTTGTGTGCATCATATATATCATATTTTGAGTTTGTTATATAACAGAGTTGAAGGATTATGTTACGTAATCAGACTCCACATGTTAATGCTGTCAGAAGAATATCCTATATGTTTCTCTGCTCACATGAATTATTGATAACATGACTATGATACCACTCATGATAAAAAAGTAATGATGTGCTCAAATTATTTATTCTAGCTCATTGATGAATGGAGACACAACACAGGGAAGGCATTGGAACACAATAAAACATTGGATATTTTTGTCTATTTAAGGAATTTTTTATTATTTTGATTTAAAGGGTTTATTAGTTATGTTCAGTGCAAGGGTTATAATTAGCATTTAATGTAGTGCAGGCAAAAGATTCCTCCCACACAGCACAACACTCAGTTTTTCACCAACCCTAGATCTAAAAATCAATACATTGAATGTAACACTGGGGCAATTATAAACTGTAAAAATGTGACAACTTCACACACACACACACACACACACACACACACACACACACACACACACACACATACACACACACACACACACACACACACACACACACACACACACACACACACACACACACACACACACACACACAAATGCAAACACACAAATTCACATACACACAGTAGTTACAAAAGCTAAGAAGGCAGTGGCAAAATTATATTTAAAAATTATACTGCATTGAAAAGGTCACTGGGTAAACGTTTCATTGATATGATAGCAATATATTTCTGCATGCTCTCTTCCTCTACTTCTCCCTCCCTCTCTTTTTCTCTCCATCGCAATTTTCTCCACAATCTCCTTAATCACAGGCACAGTATCCGTCATTATTTCCACCAACCAGAAACATTTTCTGGATATCTAAGTTTCACTTAAGAACAGTGTATGTCTAAAATGCATTGTTCCGTTAATGTAAATGCCCCCCTTGTTCCTCCTCTTCACTCTCTTAAAAACTCTTCAGGTTTTTCCAACTGAGCGATTCTGAGGCGGGCGCAACCGCACTAGAGGGAGAGTCGTGCTGGACTGGCGCGATATCCTCGCACGGTTCACAACTAAAAGAAGACCTGACCCGCGTTTAATCATGATTTTAAATGATGGAACATGCTGATTTTAAAAGTTGATCAGGGATTTCTAGTTGTGGGTCGTTTGCGAGGCATGGCTTTCCTTTTAACTTGCTTATTTCTGTCTTGGTGAGTATTGCAACTCTTTTCTCTGCATGTTCGGACTTTTACGCACGGGAACCAAAGACTGTGGATAAATGTGCATTTGAGAAACTCTGTATTTTCAACTGTTTTATTATTTGTTGTAATTATCTGTCATAACTGCATATGTACTTTAGTTACAGTGTGAGCAGTGTCTGGGGAAATAAGCCCGTTGATACCAATATTTATTTGGATAACATCACGCGCATATTGGATAGATTACTGGATGGCTATGACAACAGGCTGCGACCCGGATTTGGAGGTATGTTAATGACCGTGTGATATTGTATTTCATACGATATTTCCTCAAACAATATTCAATCGAAGTTCCTTTTCTCAAAATATAAAGTTATACTGCAGTAGTTAGGTGCCTCGTTTGTATTTAGCTGCTGTACTGTAGTGGTTAAAAATTGCAATTCATTTTCGTTTATATAACTTTAAAACAACTACAAAAATGGTCACCTAACAACTGGAAACTGAGTTTGGCACTTCATTTAGAACCATTTCCATGTTATTTTTAAGTTTCATATACAATGTTGCTTTATGCATAACTACACAGTTGATATAGCTTTATTTTGTACTGCTTTATACTGTGTGTATAAAAACATGAAAATGTCTAATCGAAAGTTATTGTTTTTGACTGTTTCCTTTTGTTGTAGGTCCAGTCACAGAGGTCAAAACTGACATTTTTGTCACCAGCTTTGGACCGGTTTCAGATGTTGAGATGGTATGTAAACTAACTATGGCTGAAACAAACAGATACAGGGTGCACAGGCCAATTCAATGGCTATCATTCACAACAAAGACCATGTCAATGTAAGAACACAAAAAATAATATGTAATTTTTTCCCGGTAACTCTCAGCATATAGCATCTCATCATGGCTCAGCTAGCCTAGCCTTCATTATTACAGCATTTGGGCAGGATGTCATTAGTGCAGCTTAGAATTTTAATCTGTTTGACAATCCCCCCGTCTGAGAGCGAGAGAGAGAGAGAGATGTGGCTGATGTTGGGACGGGATAGGTTAGCTACTTCTGCCATGGGATAGGCTAAGCGCTGTATGTCAGTTTTGCTCTACACTTTTCAAGCTTTAGGCTTTCACTGCATATAAAGCCCCCTTGATTTGCCATGTGATATGTTGGTTGCAGTTCTATAGAGATGCATATAAGAGGCTATTCAGGGCAGCAAGACCAACGTTTTTGAACTAAAAGCATCCTATCCTTTGTGCTGACTCTTAAAAAAGTTAACTATATTTACTTAATCTTTTACGTGGCAGTCCATAGAAAATCCAATAAAGGCACCATTAAGTTAATCATTGTATGTCTTATTATCTGTTGCATTGCTAAATATTTCGAAGGAATTTAATATACATGATAAAGAAACATCTTTAAGTGTTATCTTAAGAGAACATTTCTCTATGTCCAAGAATATAAATTCAATTTAAACTTGCTTTAAAGAATCAACGAAAGATTAATGTCTGGATTTTAAAATGTATAAATAAGTGCAAATTTGTGTTTTCAATTTGATTAGTACTGGCTGGCAGCAATAGTAGAATAGCCCAGAGATGAAAAAACAACAACAACTGACTACATTGCCAGTACTGCATCCAGCAGGTCCAACAAAAACCATTGCTCACAAAACCATCTGCCATCCTCTCCGGGGGTAGTGGATATAGTAGTGGCAGGAGCAGAACAGCATCAACAGAATGATTGGTAGTAAATAAATCTTTAACCCACACTCCAACCTCCATCCAGGAATATACCATGGACGTGTTCTTCCGTCAGTCATGGATCGACGAACGGCTGAAATTCGAGGGCCCCATTGAGATCATGCGGCTCAACAACCTGATGGTCAGCAAGATCTGGACGCCGGACACTTTTTTCCGGAATGGCAAGAGGTCCATCTCTCACAACATGACCACCCCCAACAAGCTGTTTCGCATCATGCAGAACGGAACTATCCTCTACACCATGAGGTAACAGTGCTGGACAGTGAGCTCCAAACCAAGCCAAGACCGGAATAGAGCACAGACCTTGAAAGCTAATCAAACAAACAAGCATCCAAGAATATGCACAGACATGAAAAGAAATGAAGAGCGCCATTCCAAAAAACAAAATATGTACCATCTGATTATGAAAACAGGTCTGGAAAGCAATTCAAACAAACGTGACTTCAAATCCCTGTTGAGTTACTGATGGCACAAAAAACACATTTTTAGAAAGAATTTGATTATTTAAGTGGGTCAAATTTACTTTAAAACACTGAATAATTAATTGAGGACTTTATTAAATCCATTGTGTCATTAGTTACTTTCAGGAGATGTACAGTTAAAGGTTTTATGACCTTTTAATAGGGCAGAATTCATACACCCACTTCAAATCAAATACTGCAGCATAATGACTGGATCCATCTTAAAACAGTGATCATTACTTGGCAAGTAACACTGTATCAAATATAAATCAAACACTTCTTTCAACTCTTCTCTATTCTGACAGATTAACTATAAATGCAGAGTGTCCCATGCGTCTGATGAACTTCCCGATGGATGGCCATGCCTGCCCGCTCAAGTTTGGGAGTTGTGAGTTGTTGTTTTTTTAAACCTCACTGGAATGACATGTGGTATCGCAAATGATCCCTCTGTCACTGAGTTACTCACTGTCTGACAGCATGTATTCAAGATTTCCTATCCGCTACATTTGGTGATCTAAAACAAGTCAATCAGCAAAAACACAACTCATTGCTGCTTTCATTGGCTCAAGGAGTAATGTTTTAGTATTTTGGTCAGGCATTTCGTATATGGAAGTTATTTTTTTCAGGTTTATTCATTTACATGCTTATTTTATTTATTATTTTTGAGAATACAAACAATCGGGAAAGTTTTGAAAGCCAGAAACTAGGAGGCAAAAAATGGTTTAGTCACTTTGTGTCCTAAACTATTTAATAAGAATAACTTTATATAATGGTTAATGTCTATCTTTTAACAAAGTTCTTAATTGCCCTGTCTAGATGCTTACCCCATCAGCGAGATTGTGTACACTTGGAAGAAGGGCCCTCAGTCCTCTGTGGAAGTGCCCGAGGAATCCTCCAGTCTGCTCCAGTACGACCTCATCGGCCAGACAGTGTCAAGCGAGAGGCTAAAGTCCAACACAGGTGAGCAGGATTCTTAAATTGGTGTAAGGTCATTTTTTTACATACATACTTTCTTTAAGTTTTCACTGGGTTCATATTTTGCATTGTACATTACTTAAATAATTGTTTTCTAATGTAACCTAAAAAGATGGGTGTCTATGTCTATGAGTTACTGATATGCCACCGAAATCACAAACATCGTTGCTGTTTTCTCTCTCAGGTGAATATGTCATCATGACAGTCCACTTCCACCTGCAAAGGAAAATGGGATTCTTCCTGATTCAGACTTACATTCCCTGTATTATGACTGTCATCCTGGCCCAAGTGTCTTTCTGGATTAATAAGGAATCAGTTCCAGCTCGGACTGTGTTTGGTAAGTTTCCTTTAAAATTAATATTCTGAATAAAACCTGATGTACATTTCAAGGGGAAAAGGGACAAAACATATCAAATGCCTGTATTGCTTTCCTGCTGGCAAGGAATCATTTGGAAAATTCAAGAGCATTTTTATTTTTGCTGGCAAGAAATGTACTATGACTTGTAGAAACAGTTTGAAATACTTCAGGTTGTGGTATTGGGTCTTATTTTTGAATGTTGCAAGCCTTTATGTTAAGTTTTCAGTTCTCAAAAGTCAACTTCATTTTCTTCAAGTATCTAAAACTTAAATGGGAATGTATTGACCCACCACCCACTGCTTGACCCCAGATGGAGTATCGCTCTGCAAACTTTAAGCAAGTGTACTTTTCCATATTTACTGTGCTCTGATTAGTTTGTACTTAAAATAAAACCTTCCTAAAGAGAACAAACATATACACAGTCACCACAGTATGTGTTAACCTTTCTTCATTAGCTCCATCTCTATTAAATGTCCTTTTTAAAATGTGCCATGCAATGGACGAGAGAGGGAGGATTTTTACTCGAGCCTTTTCCGAGCACTCACAGGTTCCGCTTGGTCACATTACATTACGCTTAAGTTGCCACCAAGCTCTAGCCTCAGGAGCAGAGAGGGTAAGAGACACTGAAGAGAGACAGGGAAAGTAAGACTGGGAGGAATGCGAGGGACACAAAGACAAAGTAAAGACAAAAATCACTAGAAGAAGGTCATCTTCTTTAGAATTCAATTTCCCCTTACTCTAATTTCCAACAAGCTGTTGCTGAGCAGACTAACACTTCTGGCCGCTGTAGATCACGGTTGTGTAGTTTGTGCCTGTCTTTGGAAGAAAGCCAGCTCTCCAACGAGCCTGCGCACTTATTCAGAATAGATCCAAATCATTAGTGTTAGTGTGGAAGTCGAGGCCCCATGCGGAAAGCACATCTGTGGTAACTCATTAACCTCAATCGTCTTGCTGTTTCCATTTCACTCACTATAAAAAATGATACAATAAATGCTCATTCTCTGGATGCTATGCTTTTAAAAAAGAGCCCTGGGCAGACCCACGGCATGCTGGGTAGAATAAGGTAGAAGAAATGATATATGTTGGGTATTCTGTACTGAAAGAAAAAGGTCACGCTATATCTTCAAACTCAAAGTCTATTTACTAAATTAAGAGCTCTTGGAGTCACAGTCAAATATATGTTAAACAAAGCCAATATTAAGTTAAATAAATGCTGTCGATGTGAGGTTTAAGAGAGGAAGTAAAGAAGAGGATATGAAATGCTATGTGGATGTGCTCCACTCTGAGAGTACATTAAGTCATAGTATGTTCTGTGCCGGATTGTCAACAACCTCTCTAAGAGCTCAAAGTCCCTTGAGCACAAGTCTCACAGACTTAATTGAGTGTGGCCTAATTTGTACCTTGCTTTTTTCATATAAAAGCACATAAATGCCCCAAGCACTTCATTTCTATCCTGTCTTTATACGTCATCCCTCTCCCTCCTACACTTTTTCTTTATTTCTTTCTCTATCCTCTCCCTCCTACCCTGACAGGCTTTCTTCCCATGTCCGTCCTCCCCTTTGCAATCATGTAACTTGTGCTTGAGCTATTGACAGTCAATGCTGGCTGGTTATAGGAGGAAGTTGCACTCCAGAGCTGTTAGCTTTCACTGCAAAAGTGTTGTGTAGAAAATGCCATTGAGACATTATTAAGTGCATTAAATCCCCAATAATTCCCTGTGCTGCTAATGAAATGTGCACAACTACACTGCACATTTGGTAAAAGCACGGAAGGGAGTGTTCAATGGCCCCTTTTCCCTGCTTGCTTTAGCTTGATGAAAGTGAATTAGATATGTACTTTGTAAATGGGCCATTACAAGAGATGTTCATTGTCAGCATCTTTATCTGATTGAATAAGATTGGAGTCTGTGTAAGTCAGAGGAAATCCCTTTTCCAGTGTTTTGTCTAACACTAACAAAATATCCTCTGTCACAGATATTTTATATATATTATTATGTAATCAAGAGTATTTATGAATGGCCTCGGAGTATACAGTGTTTTTCTTTCTGTTGTATACTTTGAGGCTGTGCTCAAAGTGATCTTTGCTCTGGGCTGTGGTTAGAAGTTAGGAAACACTTTTGACAGACTTGGAAAGTCTAGTGCAATCCCAAGAAAGACATCAGACAACCATGTTATTTTCACTCTCCCACATTCACCATTTATGCATGTATTTGTTTTCTTTAAAAGTGTTTCCATTATATTATCCATAGTTTGCAATATAAACAGATATTAGCAAATTATGTCTGGCTTCTGTCCGGGTCATCTTCTTGAATCGCTTTTTCTAAAGTGCTTCCAGATATTTGGATGCCCTTATTGGTGTGATAGTGCGGGGCATGGGTCAGTCTGCTTATTGACAGATTAGTATCTGGAGAGAGGACTTTTTAGCAAAGCCTGCTGGCCTGAAATGTCACATGGCCTGACCTTTCTGTTATATACCATCTTGTATTGGTGCCGCTATGTGTCAGAGTTATACTTGGGCAAATCAATTGTGAGTTCATTATTATTTGTAATAATATAACATGTAATGCATTCATGTTACTATTTTTATAAAAAGCTGAAGGATATACACATACGTTGTGTTGCGTAATAAAAAAAAGCCGATTTATTTCGACATCCTCTTGTTCGTGGGATTAAACATTGATTAATTAACTGCTTTTAATTTCAATTTGTTTGTAGCGTTCATGGATGTTTAAAATGTCAATAATATTAATAGTTGATTTAAACACGGTGCAACATGTTGTAACAGATCTCAATTTGTGCACATTATTTACTGTAACAATTTAATTATTACATTTATCAACATCTATGATTCACCACCGTACATGCTAAGATCTCGGTAGGAAGTCATTTTGAATCATCTCTGCAGCATTATTGTCTTATAAACATCGAAGCCACGAGTGTTGCAACTGTCCTCTTTGCAATGCTAAACAGATCACAGATGTTAAATGCCAGATAGTATATTTTGCAAAGAGAGTCAAAATGAATCTTTCAAAATAAACTCTGCTGCTCCGTTTTCCGCTCAAATAATATAACTGTTTTGGTGAGAAGTCCTGATGGAATTGACTGTGTGTGTGTGTGTGTGTGTGTGTGTGTGTGTGTGTGTGTGTGTGTGTGTGTGTGTGTGTGTGTGTGTGTGTGTGTGTATGTGTGTGTGTGTGTGTGTGTGTGTGTGTGTGTGTGTGTGTGTGTGTGTGTGTGTGTCTGTGTGCGTGTGGTCTCTTATAATCAAGCCTCTACACTGTTATTCATTAATAAACATTTCCAGGCATTGGTCATATGGATCACCAAGTGACAAATAAATAAATAATAAAAACAATTAGACTAAAGACTAAATTATAGCTACTGTAAAGCACAGGGCAGCATAAAAACAAAAGAAAAACAAACAAACAGGGTGATAGACTCGATAATCTCTGCCAGCTCAAAGCACCTAAACAGTTTCACTTACATGGGACTACATCTTGCTGAAATAGTGCTAGCATACACTATATGACAAATATATTTTTTATGAAATCTTAAAGTTCAAATTCTGGGACAGTTGCTGTATTGCCCTCTGGACTGTTATCTGGAACTTTGGTTTATTTAAAAAAATGGGAAGGTAGATTTCTTCATAGGAATAATACTAATATTGGCTTAAACAAGGGGGACCAGCAGCAAAGCTTCCCGCCCCGAAAAACTAGATTGAATTGTACCGAAGTACCCACGTACTTGATTGGGCCATTTAAAAAGGTACATATTTACTGAGAGTTTACGATATCAATGTCTTTCTGATGTTTGTATGCTATGTTTGAAGCTAGAGCCAGGAGGCTGTTATCTTCAGTGTTGCATTTACACAAGAAAAAGCAAGCATACTAATTTGCATAAAATAACTATAAAGCTGAAGTTACTATTTGTGGGCGAACAGTGGATAAGCGAGGTGACTTCTTGTGTGCAGATTAAAAAACCTCATTTAGTTATTCATTTGTGAACTTTGCAGAAGTTTGTAAAGCAAGCATATTTTTGAAAGTTGGAAAGAGAAAGGCAAGTCTTTTTCCCTGTGCTTTCAGTTCAAACCGGAGAGATGTGATGTAAGAATTACATATTTATTGTTTACACGTCATATGAATGAAATGATTGCCATGATAATACAACAGGATAATGTAATGGTGTTTGGCGATTAGGCCCCGGTTTGCAGGATAATCATTCAGGAGGGAAATAACCGCTCCGATGAAATCCCCGGGGTCTAGACACTGGTGGTGGTGATGAGTAGGTGAGACCGGTCTGAAGGAGGAAGGTTTAGCTTTGTCCTGAAGGATACGGGAGGCGAGAGGGGTGGAGGCGGGTTGCGTGTGATCATCTGCAATGACAACTGACAGGGAGGAAGAGCAGGCATTTAATTAATTTAGCATGTGCAGCGATTGGCTGCTGAGGGGTGACGCCCTCGTATTTAATGAGGGGGGAAGGGAGCCATAGAGTGACGTGTAAGTGACTCGTGTTAGGTCTTCCTTATTGAACTTGCGCTAAAGCTTTCATTTCTTATCCAAAACAAGGCTTACTGCCTTCTGGCTATTCTCACTGACATGTGAGTGGTATTGATCTTATCATCTAGCTCTCTACAGACAAAGTAAATAAAAGCATTTCCAAAGATGTCAGATTATTCCAATTCTTTAGGTTCCTAGCTATGGTATACCAAAGCAGTAAACACATGACTAAATACAAACCAATTTATCCCAGTGCTAGGTCAGATAATATTGATTGTTGTGCTTTTATTTATGTCTTAATGTGTGCATATGTATAAATGTGTCTGTTGATTGTGTATATAGGATATACATATTTCATATTTTTGTATTTGGTGATTTGGCATTTCGACTGAAAGATTGACAATAAAGTTGACTTTGACTTTTGACTTTGACTTGAGATAACATGTGAGATTCCTAACTCCCGTCTCCTTTTTGTCTCCAGGTATCACCACTGTCCTCACCATGACAACGCTCAGTATCAGCGCTCGACACTCCCTCCCTAAAGTTTCTTACGCCACAGCCATGGATTGGTTCATTGCCGTTTGTTTCGCCTTTGTATTCTCCGCCCTGATTGAGTTTGCAGCCGTGAATTACTTCTCCACCCTGCAAGCTAACCGAGAGTTGAGGAAGGCAGCAGCCATGAAGGTGGCGGCCCAGGAGGCAGCGGCTGCAGCAGCTACACCGACCTCAGCCACGGGGATTGACGGAGATCTTTCCTCAGTAAGTCTACCCCTCTGTTTCACACTTGCTTTGTTTACATGCTTTGAACAATCAGTTCTTAAAGGTCATCTATTATGCAAAATCTACTTTTTCATGTATTTTATACATAAACATGTGTCTCCTCTGTGTAAGGAGATTCTGAAAGTTTCAAAAAAGATTCGTCTCACTTTTTGTCCAGATCCATTTATATAAAAACCTGTCAGAAAATGAGCTGATCAGATTTTGGCCACTTTATGATGTCATAACGATTCTTTGGCTTGTGTAACCATTAGCCAATCACCAACCAAGGTAACCCCCGCACACCTTATCACCTGAATCTCCTCCTAGAGCACCATTCTGTTCTTTTTAACCAAATATCTCACAGAGGGGCGTGGGGAGTGGCTTCTTATTTTCATTTAAAGTAAAAGACAGAGAATCAGCACTTTTGAAACAGGGCAGAAACAGAGTGGATTATGGGATGCTACAATGGGTGATTTGTTTGGTGTGGGGAGGCTGTGGCTCAATGGGATAGTGCGCTGAACTTTGAATCAGGGGATAGCAAGTTCGAGTCCCACTGCAGTGAGCATGTCGTTGTGTCCCTGGGCAAGACACTTCACCCCAAATTGCTCCTGTGGGGATTTTCCACATTATTGAGTATGTAAGTCGCTTTGGATAAAAGCGTCTAAAGTGACATGTAATTTAATATGTTTTGAGCAAAACACTTCAGAGACATGTTTGTATATATTTGTGACCTATAATATATCGACGAAAAACAGTATAATAGGGGACCTTTAAGTTCAAACCTGTGTGAACGTACAGGTTTACCATATATTTAGTTGTCCGCAAAATGCAAAAGTTACTAATATCCATGCTCCATGTAATGTGTTCATCAGTCAGAGGATGGCAGATCGGATGGAAACATGATTCAAGTCTTAGAGCTGTACCAATTAAAGTGTTTTCACTTAGACATGTAGGTTACACACAGCAGTGAGATTACTGATGCTGTATACAGATACAGACCTTACACGTTGCACAGGGTTGCTATGATAAATGATGATCAGAGCTCACAGGAAGAGGGCTTCACTTGGCCTCATTACATGCCTCTACATCTCCTCATCAAACCACTCCACCTCTCGCCCCACCACACTTCTGTCCTTTCTCTCACAAATACAAATTGAGAGCTAAATAACATTACTGTCCTCAGAACTTTGAAGTCCATTTGCTGAAAGTTTGTGAATGTAAGGTCAGTACTTCATTTGAACCATTCCCCTTATTGGACTTTGTCAAACATGTTTTTTGCCCATGTAAGGCCCTGTCACACTGTCCCGAAATTGACACCCGATGGACACACGAATATGGAATTGTGAATTTCGCACGAAGATGGCCCCGAACCACACACGAAGGCAACATTTACATTACATTTAAGACATACAACTGCAATGAAAGTACCAAAAACAATTATGTTACAGTACTATGATACTGTACTGATATCTTCAGACTTTGTTCTTTACTTTATCCGTCGTTATATGTCGAAAATATTACGTTTTCTCCGTAATGTTGTTTCCATAACAACAACAACTTCCTGTCAACTGTCCTTCAAAATAATATATTATATCGTTTTTAGTTTCACAGAACACAAATTGGGTTATTTACATAATATATTTACATGATTTTGTTGTGCAATAAAACAACCCGATGGACACACGATAAAGGAAATGTTCAAATTCGGCTGTGATCGTAGCAACATCGGGCCATTCGTGAGGGCATCTTAAGCCATCGTATGACCGCCGGTGGAGTTTCTCAGGCTCCGGCAGCAACTTCGTGAGCGGTGGCAAAATCTTTGGCATGCCAAAAAATTGCCGAAGGACCTTGCGAAGGTTCATTTTCGTGTTGAATTCGTGTGTCAATTGTGCCCTTCGTAAGGCCATCGTGAGGGCATCTTGTTATCATCGGTGCCATCGGGCATTCGCCCCGATCAGAGTGAGGGTGAATGCACCGATGATAACACGAAGATGACACGATTTGACAAGATGCCCTCACGAGTGCCTTACGAAGTTGCCGCTCACGAAGTTGCTGCCGGAGCCTGAGAAACTCCACCGGCGGTCATACCATGGCTTAAGATGCCCTCACGAATGGCCCGATGTTGCTACGATCACAGCCGAATCTGAACATTTCCTTTATCGTGTGTCCATCGGGTGTCAATTTCGGGACAGTGTGACAGGGCCTGTAAGGTTTCCCAAAATAACGTCTAATTGGAAAATGCATATGGAGTTTAATTTAGGTCACTTTGATGAAGACAAACACACCAGTAACACATCAATGATGTACCACTGGTATGGTTATGTAGCCACTGTAGCTTTGTTTATCAGAATGTGTTAATCCCCGCTAATTGATAGAGAACAGTTCCATTTATGTGGATGAGTTGCATGTGGCTGACTTGAAACCTTACTTTATTTGTTTACAGTTTCAGAAAATTGCATCATGCAAGGTCATGCTGCACTAGCTTAAAGACGTTCCTCTGTCACAATAAGTATACAAATTAAAATATCATGTGTATGACTTGTCAGTTATTCTGTTAAGTCCTGACTCTGAGTAGATAGGGAGCGGTTACACAGGCAGTGTGTGTCTATCAGCGACGTGCAGTCAGGGGAGGCAGAGCCTCACCTGTCATACTCATAGACTGGCCATACTACAATGTAACGGAAAAACAACTAAAGAAAAACTAAATAGTAATAATAATAAAATGTCTCCACTGATCTGTGTTGTAAATGTGATTTATGTATGATTCCAATCGCTTTTTATAGTCAAAATCAGCAAATTTGCCGAGCTCCGCTACAACTACATGGGAGCGATGAGGAGTGAGGCAGGGACGAGCTCTGCCTCACGTAAGCCTGCAGTAACTTGCTGGAGCGCGGGCACTAATTTAGCGCGGGCACTTATTTTGTGAGCGCGCTCAAGCCAGTTACTGTGTGGTAAGGTGAGGCACAGATGAGCTCTGCCTCACCTCAAAATGCGTCACCTCACAGAAACTGGCTGGAAAGCGGGCACTCAGCGCATGCCTGCACCATCTCACTGTATGTCACCAATGTAATGTTTGTAGATCCCTCTATTACATTTATCCTCGCCATCCATAGTCTCTAAATAACTTATTTCACGTATATATGATATTTAGGCTCGCTGGTCTCATCATACAACGGCAATGAAAAAAGCACCAAGGGAGGCAGCCATAACCTCTGCCGCACTGAAGGGGGCGAACGTGATCCCACAGGTCCTTGTTGCTACTGTTATTCTATGCAGAGACGGTATAGACGCGAACAACAAACTAGACTTTTGAAACTAGAGGAAGATGGACTTTTACAAAAAAGTAATAGAGATTGTTGTCCAGAAGGATAGCATGGACTTCATCTTCAAGTCAAGGTAAGACCACATTGGTAATGAAAATGGGATCTTACTAAGAAAGAACAATCCAATATTTAGATTGTGGGTATCCTTTTGTTGAACGGTCTGTTTAAAATGAATCGAAACATCAGACCAAAAAAGCTTTTGAAAATAACAGAATATTTCGATTAAGGTCAGAATATAATATTTGTAAATCTGACTCTGAAAGAGTCAGTGCCTCACCAGCCATGAACCTCACCGCACGTCACTGGTGTCTATTGGGTGCAAAGTGTTACCCAAAATATTAGATAATGTATAATCTTTCTTTAACTTTCATCTGTATTTGGTGCTTTTATACTTATCATGCCTTTCATCTTTGCATTATTTATTAGTAGTTGTTATATCTTGCTAACCTTTTCTTTGTTTCTTCACCTGGCTGTCTCTTTGTCTTTTCTGCTGTCTGAATCAGTCTTTGCCTTTATGTAACCATTTCCATTTGAATGTTCTGTATTAGCGTACGGAATGGTAGAAATGGGTTATTATAATACAAACTGGTGATGAAATAACATATATTGTGCACAGGTGTACTTCCAGTGCTTTTGCTCTAAAGCCGATTGGTTATACTGGTTAATAGCCTATGGTGAAGGTTACAACATAATATAACATTGCACTAATGCCTCGATAGAGTGGTGTATGAAATTGTGTTTGGTATTGCCTGGTGTGTGCCTGGTATCTCGTTTTCTTTTCCACTTTTTGATTTGCTATAAGTCTACAATATCTCTTTCTTCTCCTGTTCAAACTTTTGCTTATTTGCAGTCACAAATGCAGCCTGTGCAATATAAACAATCCACACTATATACAATCTTTCGTTCATCCTTTGTCTCCTACCAAAGAAAGTCATACTCTCGCTTACATCTCATCCATATCTCTTTTATTTTTCCACCTCAACACACACAAAACGGCACCAGCATGTAACAATTTCCCTCTTTTGCAGCCCTTTCTCCAACCCCTTGCTGTGCTCTCCATGTGAACCCTCTACACACACTCTCTTACGCACACACACTTCTTTTGACAACCCCTCTTTTGTCTCTCTCACCCTCTTTTTCCTTGTATGTGCTGTCCAAACATGCACACTGAAACCCAGTTATCTCCACTTTAGCCACGCTTGTCCTCACAGTACAAAACGAGCACAGGTCCATGCATAATCTGCAGGACACACTCACACCAATATACCAAAGGCTCGTATATATGCACACACGTAATCTGCAGCAAAGGATGCCCACACATCCATACCCTCATCACTCTATACGATCATGTTTTATCCATCCATCCATCAACAGTATCTATCACCCATCCATCCCTCTCTCCCAGTCCTCTATTCTGCCCTGTAACTGTGTGATAACCACAGAGTGACACGAGGAGACAGCCAGTGGCTCTGTGAACGATGTTGCTGCAGATTATGTAAGAGCCATAGATTAAGGGAATATCCAGCAGATCACTGCAGGCTCACAAGAAGGAGGGCAGCCACCACAATGAAGCGGAGTGGGGGCTGAGAGAGCTGGCCCAGTCCATTTTTGTGGAGCAAGATGGAGGATTGGATGGATGGTGGGGGGGCCTGTGTGGTTTTGTTTGTGTGCATGTGTGAGGAAGAGTTACACTAAGAGAAAAAGAGAGTGGGAGGGATGCATCATGGAAAATGACTGCTTTCAGAAAATATGTAGGAGGAAAGACTTCATTACACAGAGAAAAGGAAAAATACACAATGGTGTATCATTGGGAATAAAATAACCGTCCTGCAGTCACGATTTTTTAAAAACTACGTCCAGTTATGACTGGCAGGTACAGCCACAACAGGACTGAATACCTTATAGTGACATAAGATAAATATGTCATTGAATGATTCAGATGTCCGTAAACACAAAGGGAAAGGGGGTGTTTGCAAGTGTGTGTAAAGTGTGCTGCTTGCTCTTTCAGTGGCATGTGTGAGTAGGTGGTGCAGTATGTGGTGAAGCAAATAAACAGAAAATAAAACATTTGGTGGGAGGAAGAAAAGGAGAGACAGAAGGGACCTTTATTTATAGGCCAGGGCACATGTGCTGGTAATCAAGCAATCAGTGACAATTACTGGGATGAGGAGATGTAGTTATTAAAGCGGGACACGTTTGATTTTTAGATTCGATTTCTGATTAGTTGTAGGGTGTAGAGTTATGGTTTTCATGTACAAAAGATACCAGGGAAGTTTTTTGTTGCTGTCCCCTGAGGCCTCCCACTACTAACTGTACAGTAGATCATATATATTTGATATATATGATATATAATGAATAATTATATATAGGAATAATTATATATGTGTATGTCTAGTTTACATACACTATAGATGGACTACATCAAAGTTTTGTAAGTCTCACCCATAGCCTGAGCACCAATACATTATCCTGGGACTTTGTCACACAACACTCAAACCTTATGGGTAATAGAAATGTATTTTTTGACTTGTTAACCTGCAGGAGGTTCCATCTTCAAATGTAATTTCACAACCTCATAAATATGATCTGCCTGCCCGGAATGAGGACAAATCAGCGTTGAAATTCCATCACATAAGAAGCTAGGGGCTTGTATTATACTAGAGTTAAATCTGGAGTGTGATCTTGTTTAACTAACAATAAACTAGAAAGCAACATTTCTTTCAGAATCAGAAGTAAAAGTAGTCTTTTTCCTGCATGTCATTCAACAATCCTGAGATTTCTCCACTGTATATGGAGTGGATAATAAGAGGACCTTGGATACATTTGTTGGATGATGATCAGGTCTTACATTCATAAAAACATCTGTGGATTTTGTATTTCCAGCCATATAGCCAAATAATTTGTTGTTCTCTCACTTTCTAAACCTACATTTTTTTATAAAGAGCACTATAGTTGTTTCTAGGATACCTTCTTATTTCAAACACATTTATATATTTACATACACATGTACATCTTCCCCGTCAAATTATAATCCACACACCCACTCAACACCCACATAGATGAACCTACAGTACATGCACTTACTCCCATGCCATATTGGTAGTGCACAGTTAGAGTAACCTTATGTCACATGCACGCCTACACACACATACACTATGAAACACACTTAGATGGAGAGACCGCCCACGCATGCACATTAATAGCCACACCCAAACAACATCCATGGATCCATCAGGCAGCGCCCATCCTCCCCTGTCAAAGTGGGTCTGTTGAAAGTTGAGCAGTGGATAAAGAGGAGAGGAACTGATCCCTCTGGGATTTGACCAGGAAGAAGCCAAGGCAGCCTGTTGTCATTAACACAAATAGCTTGTGTATCAGATCAGATGTGCACAGTACGCCACACAGGCCACACTCCCAACATGTACTTAAAGCATGATCTTTGACTTTAAAAGGAACCATTGTACTGATAGGGAGCTAACATGTAAAGCTGCAGCCTGGTGTTGTTGGAGGTTTGGACATCATCCTGTAACAATAGAAAACAAATAGACCTCCATGTTTAAATTCCTGTTTGAACTCAAATATGTTGCCCTTTAAAATGAGCAGTTATTCAACACAAGAAAGCACACCTAACTCAGAGTTACGGGCACACATTGTAATTAAATGAAGAGTAGATTAACGTATGGATGACCAGCTGTTAGATTGGCAGGACAGGACAGGACCCCTCCCCCTGTCATGTTGCTAGAGGGTTTAACACATCACAATCTAATGTTGTGTTTTATTCTACTCAGAGGACCTTCCATAGCAACCATTGTGTTTCAACTCAAGCCTTTATCAAGAATGAAACGGTGATACTATTGTTTTACATGTTGAACTGGAGCGCAGTTCCTTAAATAAAAGTCTCACACTAATGAAGTCTGAATAGATTAGAATATGTTTGTATCTCTCTGTGTAGCATCATTATTTCCATTCCATCTCTATCTATCTGTCACTCTCTTATAGGTCTTTCTCTCCTTTTGTCAGAGTTAGGAAACTATCAGTACTATTCCACAGTTAAATTGATTGTGTTTCAGTGATATGATGATAACAGTTTCACCATTTTTCAAAGGGAAGGACATTTATTATATATTGGTTTCTTTTACTATCAATACAAAAATTATATTTTCTCGATTTACCGATTTACCTAAGCCCAATACGTATAGATATTCAGTTAAATATAATATCAAACTGGGAGAAAAGCCAAACATTTTAATATTTCATATTCCTATTTGGTGGGTTTTTTCTGTCAATTGGCACATATTTGCAGCTCTATTTCTTAGTAGAAAATGTTGTCCTATAATTAACCAACATACAACACTCTCTATTTATAGACCTCCACTGCTGTTTTTCTCTGTTTCATGTTTCCATGGTTATGATCATGAAGTCAGACCTTCATACGGATTAGAAATGAAAAGATTTCTCAATGTAATCTAATCAGCAATGTTAAAAGTCATCAGTTGTACATCTGAAGATAGCTGCCAAAGTAATAACACTAGAATATCATTTTATCATTTAACAAACAAGAAGTACACTGAACATTTATTCGTGGGGGAAACAATCGTGTTCGCAAACATTTTGTTATATGCAGAACTAATCTAGTTTTATTTTTAGCTTGGACAGAATACAGGTTTGGAAGTGTTCCCCTCAGCCAGAGGATTGTAACAGTTTGTTTCTCAACCTGTATGAGCATGTAATCCTGTAGCCGCACAAATCCAGCCTAAATCTCACAAATTCAGTTTTTATTCCAAGACTGTACTCAGCAAAAAAACATCCACTGAGAGCTGAAAATGCCCCGTTACATGCAAGCTGGAGCAGTCGGTGAATTATACATTTTCTGAAACCTCACAACCAAACTTAAATGGTCAGGTTGTTTAGTAATAAATCCATTTGAAAAGGTACAACATATGTGAACATTGTTTTACCAATAAACCTGCAGTCTTGCATTACAGAAAAAGAGATGGCCCTCTTTCAGTCTCTCTCTCATTTCCTTTGACTCTACCTACAGAGACTGTACACATTGTGCAGCTGATTCACTGCTATTGGATCAGGGAGCATGTGTTGAGATCACACTGGTTTACTGAAAGTTGATGAGGCATAGCGATATGTGTGTCAATATGTATCGAACCTCTTTTGTTTAATATGTTTTGTTTGCCTCCCACAACTGTTACAATCTTAATGAAACGGGTTGATTAAAAACACATGAAATCAAAAACAAACATCATTGATTTCCTTTGTTAAGCTTAATTACTTGTGGTACTCATTGGTATTCCAGACAGTTTCTGGCAGAAACACACATTTCCCGCATGCGCAAATCAACTCAAAGCTGAGCAAATATGGCACTGACATCAGGCTGAATCTTCCATTTTCTCTTTAGTTGTTTGTAATGTGTTGATATCAATTCAATTATGAGAGGTTGTTCTTTTCCATGAAGAATCAGTATTACTATTCTAAGCACTATGAGGATTTTCTGACCCTCTGGAAAAAGTACAGAACCACTTTTATTCTGAATACCCACATATTAAATCACGTAACATTCTCTTTAATGCCAATTGCCTCTAACAGATCTATACTTTTCTTTCTGCCTCTCCAAGGTGGATGCGAGCAATGTGCTGAAGAAGAGGATGAACTCTGCCCTTCTGTTTGAACGGCCTTCCAAAACATTTCCCAACCCACCCGTCAATGCCCAAGCCTTCCTGCAGCAGGGTTCGGCTGTACCAGACAACAACGTTCTGACCGGCACCAGCATCATCGACAAATACTCCCGCATCCTCTTCCCTCTTTCCTTTGGCGCCTTTAACCTGGTCTACTGGATCGTCTATCTCACTAAGGACACAATGGAGATGTCAAGGTGAACAGATGGCATGGTTCTTACAAACATTCTAATTCTTAACTGAAAATACTGTGTTTGGAGGAATCTAGCACAACCTCAACCAGGCTACAAAACATATCCAAAAGTTCCAAACGTGTGTTAAAGTGCCACAGTATGATAATGTCTTTGTCCCAAAACGTAACATACAATATTTCACGCTAAGGCTATCAACGAGGCGATACTGGTTGGCACATGCATCATGGCCGCCGGGGATTTTGGGCCCCATGAAAATATATCACATTGGTTACTTAAACATTTTGTTCTTAATGTTCTGAAATTGTTTGGGCCCCTGTCAGTCACGGGCCCTTAGAATCGTCCTAACTGTTCACCCCCTTACGGCGCCCCTGCACGCAACCACAATCTATCACAGTACAGTCACAGCACACTGAGTATTTTTTAACCCATGGTTTTCCAAAGTACATAAAATGTATATTGTGGAACATTCGCAATACGCCACCCATAAAATAAGGCCTAACAGAAAAAATGGGCATTCATGTAAATGGCAATATACAGTATGAGAAAACATGGCTTGGATTACTTCTATTTGTTGGTGCATGCCATTTGAATAAACAAAACCAAGAAAACAAGGCAGACAACATCATATATCTGGACCCTGAGTCTGTAATAAAGTTTTCATTCATTCATTCATATATATACTGTACTATAAGCTATTATTGTTTTGATGTTACATGTATGTGAGTATGTCTTTACATTATTATGTATGTATGTATGTATGTATGTATGTATGTAGGGAGGCTGTGGCGCAGTGGATAAGTGCGTTGGTGTTTGGATCAGGGAAGCACAGGTTCAAACCCCACTGCAGTCAGCATGTCGTTGTGTCCCTGGGCAAGACACTTCACCCCAAATTGCTCCTGTGGGGATTGCCCACAGTATTGAGTCGCTTTGGATAAAAGCATCTAACAAGTAACATATGATGGAGGGGAATGTACACTATGTTTTTGTATGTATGTTTAGCCGCCCGGTAGTGCATATTTTATTTAGCAGCCAAACAAAGCTCCTACACATTCAGCTCTAATTAATCACCATATGGCTTTTTCGAATACGTCAGCAGAGTTTAAGAGTTGGTCACAGGCTTGGTACAGTAGTTAAGTCCTAATTGCGATACAAGACCACAAGGCAAAACTGGCAGGCTATGTATTTGTCATTTCTACCACTGTACACTGCCAACGGGCTGCAGTACACATACCCTGCATGCATGCTCTGTACACAGTGAACATAGGCCCAATGATGGCAAGACAGCACACGCTGACTGGTAGAAATGTAGTTTATTAGAGTAGTTAAGAGTTTAAATACTAACAATAAAATGCTATCAAAATCCTTACCCTGACCACAATTGTATGTTTGCTGCTGAACAATTTAAGTACATACTGTAATATCTGATGCACTGTTTATATCACATCATGCTATATAAAGAATGTCATTTAAAACAGCAAACATGCAATACAGCTGTCATTGCCATGCTGAATTGTGAAGGCTCAAAGGCACATTAAGGTCATTTTCACAAGTGGTGTCTTTCAAATGCACATGATAAACTGAGACATACATATGACTCACATGTGTAACTGATTGTAGATACACACAGCACTCTTCATGGCGTTGCTATTGCCAAAGCAATATGTCTGTCAACGGATTAATTCACACTGCAGTGATAATATCAAGGGATGTTGCTCTCATACATCACCTTTCTGCATCCTGTAAGGTTCGACACTTTGTCAGAGTGCTTTGGGTTATGAGCGTTAAAGGAGAACGCTCTGTTATGATGCACGTGTGTGTATGCAGGTTCAAGTGTTTAATTAGTCTTAACCATATGCTCTAAACAGCTGCATACTGTATGCCTGGTTGTGCATTTATGTGCACGCTATCAATGCACTCCAACCCTCCTAACTCATGGGCTTCTGAACCGGTGGGTTCAGCTCCTTTCATTTTCTCATGCTCTTTTTCTAAATAGGGAATAGCCCTAAAGCCTGAGCTGAGACAAACCAGATGACATGACAGTGTTGGCAGGCATTGGGATAGCTATGTGTGACTAACCCTCTTAGTGACACTGTCTCAACAGTTTTTATTAATTGATAGGGAGTGTAAGCGAGAAGCCCATCCTGACAAACTTCATGTAGGCAGCAGAGTGCTGGCCTTCAGGCCCTGGGAAGCAGAAATAAGGAAAAACACATGCAATATAGCTTGCATGCATGTTTCTAAAGGAATGTGGGTGTAATACACAGGAATGTCTCCATGCAATCAAGTGTATGACTGAACAAGCGCTGGGAGTAGGGGAAGTGATGAAAGGATCAAGGAGGTGATACAACACAGAGCCCAAGGGCTAAAAACAGCAAATCCCAGCGGTGTTTGAACCTAAAGCTCACCAGTCAATGCAAGAACACGAACAACCACAGGTTGTCTCGGCCATTGATTGTGGTTTCATCATTCTCACTGAAACATTCAAGATGTTTTACATGGAAACAATCTATCACACACACAACAGATGGATAGGTACAATACAAAGTTGAGTTAATTTTAACTTACAAAATGACTGCATCAACCAACAATTAAGTCAAGGTCCTAGTTAATATAATGATGATGTATATATTACATATAGTGTTGATACATGTTTTCCTTTTTTCTTTCTATTTTCAACAAAATAAATGCATAATGTCAATCTAAGCCAGCGTTCTTCCAGTCTTGCGGAACTTACAGAAGGCGTTATATATGTTTTTACTGTAAAATGTATCTGATCTCAATATCAATATTACTCCTGAAGGATCAGTATAGATGAGAGAGCAGTGATCCGTGTGGGTGAGGGAGTTGCGTGAGCCTGGGATAATGATGGTAAGATGCATTATTACAAAAGCCCTCTGGACTGGAGTATGGCTTGTCCAGATTTGCATATAACTCAAAAATAGATTTGGCTAATGGAGATGAATTCAAGTGACTAGGTGTAGGTTAGAGATAAGATTACAACAATGGAGCTGAACGGCAAATCTGCACAAAGCTTTAGCAGTAACCAGCTCTAGTGCTAGAGGAGCATTCCTGCACAGTTCTCCGTACAATGCTTCACACCTTCATAATTAACACTTTACATTTCATAGTTATTTTTATGCAGCACCACCCACATAGTGAACCCTTAATTATGAGTTATATCCACCTTAATCCAAATATCACATCCATTAAATGAAAGGAAGCAGTCCTTTTCACTCCAGATAAATAAATATACAGCTCCAGTGGCCCCAACTGAAAGCAGTGCATGTCACAGACCCCTTTGTAGCTCTGCTTTTATCACAAAAAGCCCTCCTGCAAAGATGAGCTGGACCAGAAGAAAAGTGTATATATTAGTGCAAGTGTGTGTGTGTGTGTGTGTGTGTGTGTGTGTGTGTGTGTGTGTGTGTGTGTGTGTGTGTGTGTGTGTGTGTGTGTGTGTGTGTGTGTGTGTCTACTTATGTGAGGATACAAGCAAACAAGTGTATAAATGTGCGATGGCAGCAGTGCCTACCGACTGGAGGCTATTTTAATGAATAGCACCATTCAGGGCGGGACATGAAGGAAACAAATTTGCTGAAAACACTTCCTTCCATGGAGGGCCCCAGCTGGTTGACTGACTGGTTGCAAGCTGGCTGGCGGACTGGTGTTAGAGTGGTTACAGCAGGCGATAAGCCTTACCCCTCTATTGCCCGTCAGAGTGCCAAGCTTGAAAAACAACTTCCCTATTGTTGCTCATAAATCAAAACCACTGAATGCTGTTTCAAACTCAATTCCTATTTTCGACTGCGGGGCCGTAGCAATAACTTTGGTATAATGATCATTCAATTACAGGCCACTCAGACAGGGAGTGAAGAACACCGATATAAACAGCAATCCCCTATCTATCATATTTCTCTAGGCGGCCTCATTGGAATTGCTACATCCGCCTTTGACACCTTGTTTGTGTGTGTTTGCATTCACACATTTCTCACACATCTACCTGTTTACACGGATGGATGGATGTGTGCCAACTCAAGTGTGTAAATGTGAACATTTACAAGTTGTTATCACAAAAGATGTATTTCCTTTCACATATGCTCCCTCTCTCCTACTATCTCTCACGCTCAATTGGTTTCTCTGTTTCCCACTTAATCTCAGGCCCCGGCCACATGAGGACGATAACGGTAAAACGCATACGCAAACGCAATCGCAATCGCAATCGCAAAAAAGCTTCCGTCCACACGCAATATTCACCGGATAGTGTCTGTCCACACCAAGCCCCCAGGAAGTGCGCCGGAATCAGATGAAAATATTCGTGCTGGCCAAACGGCGGTACTACACTTCCGTTTGGTTGCCAGGCCCAGAAACACTTTTTCCCATTGACTTACATGGGGAAAGAGTGGTCTGTAAATCGTTGGATAATTTTTTTTAAACTATATAAACTACCCAGTATGAACACTTGTATAGCCCTTATTAAAAACATTCGTTCCTCAAGTTGTAATGATGTGCTAATAATGTTATTCTGAGAGTTATTTCCCTCGGAAATAACTCGGGGGTGGTAGTACCCCTCACTGCAGTGAGGAGTACTACCTGCAGTGCGCAGTACCTAGATGGGCGGGAGCTCAACATGGGCGGAGCCTCAACGCCCCTCCTTCTCAACCTTTGAGGCACGTGACGAGCTTCACAGATGACGCGTTGCATCCTGTTTCCGGGGTAGCAGTTCTGTTCTGTTAATCATAGCGTCAGAGTATTAACTATTTTAACATATTATATCTTATATTATTAATATATATTAATAATGTGATCATTAATGTGATAATACATTATATATATATATATATATATATATATATATATATATATACAGTATATATAATGATACCGGTAATATAATGATACCTTGAGGTCTGTGATGATGGCGAGTGATCTGTCGCCATGGCAACGGCATTTAAAAATGTAAAACTCAAATTAAACACATTAACAGCCTTCAAATCATATTTTAATGT